ACTATCGAAACAAATATAGCTTAAAGGGGCTAATAATATTGTCTTCAAAATGGTGTTTAAAAAATTAAAAACTGCTTTTATTCTAGCCGAAATAAAACAAATAAGACTTTCTCCAGAAGAAAAAATATTATCAGACATACTGTGAAAATTTCCTTGCTCTGTTGAAGATCATTTGGGAAATATTTAAAAAAAGAAAAAAATTCAAAGGGGGCTAATAATTTTGACTTGAACTGTAGCATCAAACTTTTTGGTTTGCGGTTTGGTCACAATGGTTTGTGATCTGAATGCCAACATGTATGCAAGTAAGTGAAGTTTATTCATAAACAAATTTCGAGAGGATCACGTGCTTATGATTGTTCACAGCTGTTCCAACTTTAGCTAATGACTGATTATCCTATCAGACGATCCTTAACTCACTATAAATAACCAGACTTTTCTCATCTCAATATCTTCGTCTTGAAGAAACCCCCGCACCCAACCCTACATTCCCTCCTTTCAAATGGGCGTCACGGTGGCCGGTGATTAGCGCTGTTGCCTCACAGCAAGAATGCCCCTGGTTTAATTCCTTTCCAAACCAGACGGCATTTCTGTGCGGAGTTTGCTCGTTTTCCCCGGGTCCTCCGGTTTCCTCCCACAGTTCAAAAACAAGCACTCTAAACAATTAATCCAAATACTTTAGCTAAACTCTGAGTACACCTTTTAGCATACATATCCGACACTTATCTACAACAAGCAAGAAGGGGAGTCATTGAGATCTACCTGAGCTCAAACTCCCCTCTCGCCTTGCAACGGGAAGGAGCCCAGGGCTCGAGGATCTTATAAGCTCAGGGCTCTCTCCCGGGACAGCACGCCAAACTAGCTTTACTATCAATCATCAGCCAAGTGTGAACTCTTAAAAATAAATTAGCTTGAAAACTTCTCAGATTAATATTAAAATACACAAGTTATTAAAAGAGTTCAGCTTGTACTTTGTGCAGATCTTGGCTCTTTGTTTCTTAAAGCACACTTTAATCTGAACTAAATGACTCTGGATTGAATGACTAATAAGTTGTTCATTGAAAATTCAACATGGTGTCAATCAGGTCCTTGGATGGCAGCTGAACAGGATGTGGAGTTTGATGAAACCTGCCTCCTGCCAGTTTGTTTTTCTGAGTGCACTCACTAGGGATCATTAATGAAGTAATGAGCGTAGACCCTCGCAGCGCTGGACACATGCAGTGGGCGACTCTGCTGTCTCTGCTCATTTGCTGGAGTGTCTTCAGGACGAGGATTTCAGGCTGTGGAGATTTCTCATGCTGACATGTTTTGATGAACACGTGAACTCACTTCAACAAGCCGTATGAGTCGAACAGGAACACTGGAAACACTCTGTTTCATTTTACACCCTAACATTCTCATTCACACACATGCACGACAGACAATTTAGCTTATCCAATTCACCTGTACCGCATGTCTTTAGAGCACATGATGAAAACTCACGAACATGGGGAGAACATGCAGACTCCACACAGAAATACCCACTGACCCAGCCGAGGCTTGAACCAGCAACCTTTCTGCTGTAAGGCAACCACTGAGCCACCATTCTGCCCCGACTAGTAATCTATAAATGCAAATCTTTAAATACAAAACACTTATTAGTATCTAGTATAATTATTATTATTCCTGCTGTCAGGCGATAGCGCTACCCACTGCGCCACCGTGTCGCCCTAATACACAATGATTCATTCTTTGTTTAAGCTAAACTAGTCCTCATCCGTTTGTAAATCAAGTTCTCATTTCTGATGCTCTGATCAACAGAAGTGCTCTTTGTAAGAAGCTCTCCAGCAACTCTCAGATTAAAAAGAAAGCCTTCATGATAAAGCCGAGTATATCTCCGTCTCGTCCTCTCTGAACAAAACGAGCTCCATCTGCTTCCACTAGCACTGTTCTCCCAGTGTTTCTGCTCCGTTTGCAGGTCAGATAAGAGATTCCTTTTAAATCCAGCCAACGTGGAAATGTATCCGTCTTTCAGGACTTACTGGAGTTGCTCTGTGCATTGAAAAAAAAATGATTCAAGGTTGCAAACGATTAATATGGGCTGAATTTAAACAAACTACTTAAACTTAGTAATGTTCAAATTTATTTGTTTGTTTGCAAATAGGCATGGGATGATAATCATTATCAAGGTATACTGCGGTTGAGAAAAGTCAAGGTTTTAAAACTGGCAAAATTTTGTGCTACCCCATTCCTATAGTATATGTACCATTTTCTTAAATGTTTTTTTTTTTTTTTTTAAGACAACAGTATCTCCAGCAGTAACGATATTTAAAGATGCCTTTTAAAAGTGTAATGAAATCTGTGGCTTTAAACTAGACTTCATCTATGATTCATTTTCATTATTTAGCCTGCCATATAACAATATATTTGAAATGTTTCTTAAATTAAAGTGTATTGTGTTCAAAGGGGGAAAAGGTTTTGTTTTGTTTTTTTACCCAGAATTTAAGTAATATATTTTAGAGCAGTAATCACAACACCGTGAAATCGGGATATTTATATTCAAGATTGTCATATCGTTAGAATCCTATACTGGCCCATGCCTATTTGCAACCACTTACCTTTAAAAAAATCTAGCAAAAAATCTAGGACTACATGTTAGCAGAAAAATCTGACATAGAGATATCTGAGATCTTTTGTTTTGTTGCCATATACAGTTGAAGTCTGAATAATTAGCGCCCCTGTTAATTTTTCCCAATTTCTGTTTAACGGAGAGCAGATTTTTTTTCAGCACATTTCTAATCATAATAGTTTTAATAACTCATTTCTAATAACTGATTTATTTTATCTTTGCCATGATGACAGTAAATAATGATAGACTTGATATTCTTCAAGACACTTTTAATCAGCTTAAAGTGACATTTAAAGGCTTAACTAGGTTAATTAGGGTAACTAGGCAGGTTAGGGTAAGTAGACAAGTTATTGTATAATGATGGTTTGTTTTGTAGACTATCGAACATAAAAATAGCTTAAAGGAGCTAATAATATTGACCTTAAAATGGTGTTTAAAAGTTAAAAGCTGCCTTTATTCTAGCAAAAAAACCTTCTCCATAAGAGAAAATGTTATCAGACATACTGTAAAAATTTCCTGAATCTGTTCAATATCATTTGGGTAATATTTAAACAAAAAAAAAAATAAAATAAATCAAAGGGGGGGTCAATAATTCTGACTTCAACTATATATATATATATATACAACAGTACTGTCTGGTTCTCAAATCAGCCTCTTTACCCTTTGTGTATTACTCCGCCCACATACAACCAGCAAAAAGCAGACACTACAGATCTAAAGTTTAAAAGATGCACACTCAGCTGTCAGCTTATGATTTTAATCCGTAAGAAAGTAGTTCCTTATACAAAAGGGTTTTTCAGACTCTCCATGTTTGATTTAGTCTTTATATACACAATTATGTCGTTAAACTGTTGTATAAACGCAATATCACACTCGTAGCAGTGCGATATGGCTGTGTATCAGCACTGGTGGGGGCACTAAGGCCTCGTGCCAATGCAATACAGCCATATCGCACTGCTATTCATGTGATATTGCTCTCTCTCTCTCTCTCTCTCTCTCTCTCTCTCTCTCTCTCTCTTTCTCTCTTTCTCTCTCTCTTTCTTTCTCTCTCTCTCTCTCTCTCTCTCTCTCTCTCTCTATATATATATATATATATATATATATATATATATATATATATATATATATATATATATATATATATATATATATATGTGGCAGCAACATCACCAATGATTTGAAAAGCTCTATTTCGGAAGATTTCATGTGTTTAGATCAACTGGGATAATTGAAATATTTATAAGGCTGTGCATTGACATAAAATATAATAAATTTCAAGCATAAATAAATCCAAAAGGGCAGAAATAAAAGATAAATAATCTTGTTTTTTTTCAGGGAAGTGTAAAAGTAATCAAGTACAACGAAATGTAACATAGCATGGTCATCATTATACAACCATTTTTTAAAAATGACTTTTAATCTTTAATAAACAATCCACAGTCATTTTTTAAGATTGCAAACAATATAAATGGGCTGAATTAAAACAAATTAAATGTAGTAATGTTCAACTTCATATGTTTAAATTCAGCTTATATAAATTGTTTGCAAACACTTACCTTTAAACAGAAATGTAATAAATCCAATGCATCACTTTTTTTCAGTGAGGAAGTCGTAAGCGTTCGCTGACCTCCTCGTGTCCTTGTGCCGAACGGTGTCTCCTTTCCTTTTATTATCCTCTTAAAGAGTTTGTGAAGCCTCGGTGTGCTCGGGGTGTTAAAGTGTCTTCAGGACTGCTGGAGTTGTCAAGTTAAGAGTGTTTTAGCTCTCAGTGAGTTTTACAGCCTCTGCGCACGCCGTTATATCAGGATTCAGGGGTCAGGATGACATCTGAGCTACAGCAGTTATTTAACCTTCATATTAGTCAGCAGTAGGGGCGACATGGTGGCTCAGTGGTTAGCACTGTCACCTCACTGCAAGAAGGTTGCTGGTTTGAGCCACGGCTGGGCCAGTTGGCATTTCTGTGTGGAGTTTGCATGTTATCCCCGTGTAGTTGTGGGTTTCCTCTGGGTGCTCCGGTTTCCCCCACAGTCCAAACACATGCGCTATAGGGGAATTGATGAACTTAATTGGCCACAGTGTATGAGTGTGTGTGTGAATGTGAGAGTGTATGGGTGTTTTCCAATACTGGGTTGCAGCTGGAAGGGCATCCGCTGCATAAAACATATGCTGGTATAGTTGGTGGTTCATTCCACTGTGGTGACCTCTGAAATAGAGACTAAGCCGAAGGGAAAATGGTTGAGTGTTAGACCTGCAGTGTTTATGCACACCCATGTTCTCTTATTTTGTTCAGTATTTCATATTCATTTCTTTCCCGTGTGTCCTACATTGTCAAGATTTTAAAAAGCTAATTAAGAAAAGCAAAATGTCCTCACAGTCTTTTTGACTTGTCTCACAGATTGAGAACTACATCAAAGACAACATGAAGACGGAGATGGTGCAGCTACAACAGAGCGCCGTCCACAACCACACGGCAGCCATGCTGGAAATGGGCACCAGTCTTCTGTCCCAAACGGCAGAACAGACGCGAAAACTGACCGACGTGGAGACCCAGGTATATTAAGACAGCACTATCCTAGAAAAATATGCAATATTGCTGTTAAGTATTGCAATAACTACAGTGCTCAACATAACTGAGTACAACCCATTTTAGAAATTAATATTTCTATCCATTTTTCAGTGGATATAGGTCATAGACTTAAGTGCTTTTGAACAAAACAGATTTATTAAATGGATATATTTATTAAAATCTGGGTGCTCCAGTTTTCCCACACAAGTCCAAAGTTGAATTAGGTAGGCTAAATTGGCTGTAGTGTATGTAAATGGAAGTGTATGGGTGTTTCCCAGTGATGGGTTGCAGTTGGAAGGGCATCCGCTACGCAAAACATATGCTGGATAAGTTGGCGGTTTATTTCGCTGTGGCGACCCCAGATTAATAAAGGGACTCAGAAAAGAAAATCAATTAATGAATTTATTCACCAAGCATCTTTAGAAGTTGAAATATATTGCATTTAAATTAATTAAAAATATTGGAAAATAAAATTACAAACTACAAAATTTATTTATCAATTTTTTCTTTCTCTTGAATTTTATTTAATATTTTTCCCTATAGCATGTAAATCTGGGTGTACTCATTTTGGACCGTTATCATACATTATTTTGGTAGATTAGCTCCAGATTTGACTAATCTACTGCATATGCACAAACATAATATTGTAAAGCTTCCTATAGAAAATATTCATCTAAATGAGAGATAAATCTAAATGTGAAGGGTGAACATATATGTTGAGCATGGTATATTTCTTACGATATAGCATTTCCCTAGAAAAATGCTATTTTTAATGAGCCGTCTTTTTAAATCATTTATTTATTTAATGATATTAAACTAAACAGCTAAATATATTTTAGATCCAACTCGTTCTGAATCAGAATTAAAATGTGGGTTAAAGTGCAAATATTTAGTGTTTAACGCACTATAAATGAATGAAACCCTCTGTTCCGGCTGTTGTTATTTTCAATTCGATTCATCTTTATTTGTGTAGCGCTTTTACAATGTGGATTGTATCAAAGCAGCTGAACACAGCTCAGCATTCAGCTTTGATGCTCCAGCCAATAGCAAAACAGCAACCTCTTAGGAGGCGGGTTAAATATAGCATGGCCCCGTCTGATTGGTCAAATTTAGATAATCAACCAGTGCATAAAGTATATGTAAATTATTACAGATTTTATTATTTTATTATTACATATTATTACAGATTTCTGCAATATGTACAGTTGAAGTCAGCTTTTTAACCCTCCTGTTAAATTTAAATTCTTTTATATTTTTTCCCCAATTTCTGCTTAACAGGCAGAAGATTTATTTCAGCACATTTCTAAACAAAATAGTTTTAATAAGGGGCGAGGCAGTGGCGCAGTAGGTAGTGTTGTCGCCTCACAGCAAGAAGGTCGCTGGGTTGCTGGTTCGAACCTCGGCTCAGTTGGTGATTCTGTGTCGAGTTTGCATGTTCTCCCTGCCTTCTCAAGGGTTTCCCCCAGGTGCTCCGGTTTCCCCCACAGTCCAAACACATGTGGTACAGGTGAATTGTCCGTAGTGTGTGTGTGAATGTGTGTGTGGATGTTTCCCAGAGATGGGTTGCAGCTGGAAGGGCATCTGCTGCGTAAAAACTTGCTGGATAAGTTGGCGGTTCATTCCGCTGTGGCGACCCCGAATTAATAAAGGGACTAAGCCGACAAGAAAATTAATGAATGAATGAATTAATTGTTTTAATAACTCATTTCTAATAACTGATTTATTTTATCTTTGTCATGATGACAGCACATAATATTTGATTAGATATGTTTACAGTCACCAGTGATCAAGCTACAGCGGATCACTGGAGAACTACACACACGCCACAGTTAAGAACTACAAATCCCGTCAAGCACCACACACACACACCTGTTCCGGTTTTCTCTGATTATACGCGCAAACACACAAACTCACAGCTGAAGCTCTTTGTTGTTTCATTACCTGGGCTATAAAGAAAACACCCACACACATTCACACACACATCTGGACTGAGTCTTGCCATCTGTTTTCCTTTGCCTTCTTCTTGCCGTGTTTTGACCCTTGCTTTGTTTTGTTGTTTTATGTAGTTTGCCGCCAGTACCGACCGCGTTCCTGCTTATTGACTTTGACATTGGATTATCTGCATGTACCCCTTTGCACCTGTTTTGATTGTTGCCCTTCGGACCAATCTGCTAAATAAACTGCACATGGATCCTCAATTTCGTTGTCAGCGACCATCAGTCACAATACTAGTATTCAGCTTAAAGTGACATTTAAAAGATTAACTATTTTAATTAGGGTAAAGTTAGGGTAGTTAGGCAAGTCATAACAGTGGCTTGTTCAGGAGACAATCCAAAACTAATATTGCAGAAGGGTGCTTATAATATTGTGCTTAAAATGGCTGTTAAAAAAATTAAGAGCTGCTTTTATTCTAGCCGAAATAAAACAAATAAGACTTTCTCCAGAAGAAAAAATATTATAGGAAATACTGTGAAAAACTCCTGAAACTGTTCAACATCATTTGGGAAATATTAGAAAAGAAACAAATTGACTTCAACTGTATATTGCATATACTATTATCACGATACCGATATATTGTGCAGCACTATGCATTTCCCACTCCATTAAAGCAGCAGTCTATTTTCCATGTATCCTCTTAACACGGCTCCCACTAAGCCAAGAACAACACGAGCACCACAGTCTCTTTTTTTTCATGCGTCGTTCTCATGTTGTTCGTTCTGAATGTCTTTATGACTGCAGAGGGAGATTGTAAGGTTGTGTTTTGCTGATTTGTCAAATAAGAGCTTGAATAACTGTTCATAAGTGCTGTCGTATGGTGCTGCGGTATAGCGCGGTGTGTTTATGACTTCTCCTGAGGCACGGCTCACTTAATACTGACTTACTAATGCTTTTTAGGTCTGTGTTTTTGCGGAAGGATTACTGTATTTTTATTGGAGTGTCTTCGTTTTTGCAGGTTTTGAATCAGACGTCGCGGTTGGAAATTCAGCTGCTGGAGAACTCGCTGTCCACCAATAAGCTGGAGAAGCAGCTCATGATACAGATCAATGAAATCAACAAGATTCATGACAAGAATGGGTAAAGATCCTCACACAATTGAAGTATTTCTGTTTCAATTGTATATTAGAGTTCTATCCACACTGTTGGGTGAAGCAGTGGCGCAGTAGGTAGTGCTGTTCCCTCACAGCAAGAAGGTCACTGGTTCGAGCCTCGGCTCTGTTGGCGTTTCTGTGTGGAGTTTGCATGTTCTCCTTGCGTTCGCGTGGGTTTCCTCCGGGTGCTCCGGTTTCCCCCACAGTCCAAAGACATGCGGTACAGGTGAATTGGGTGGGCTAAATTGTCCGTAGTGTATGAGTGTGTGTGTGAATGTGTGTGTGGATGTTTCTCAGAGATGGGTTGTGGCTGGAAGGGCATCCGCTGCGTAAAAAAACTTGCTGGATAAGTTGGCGGTTCATTCCGCTGTGGCGACCCCGGATTAATAAAGGGACTAAGCTGACAAGAAAATGAATGAATGAATGAATGAATCCACACTGTTTACTCTATTCACTATTTACTGTATTCAACTGTTAGTTCATAGGCAATAACAGGTAATGCACAGTGATAGGTGACTCTTATGATGATAATAAGAAACACAGTTCATCATATACACAAATTCAATTCATTTGGTGCAAATATTCATCATTTTTACTTGTGAATTCACAAATTGTGTGTTGTATTTATTAATTGTGTTTTGAATTTACACTTTGGATTTTGTACATGTGAATTGTGTTGCGTGTGCATGTCAGAATTTTATTTTGTAAATGTATTTTTTTGACTCTGATCTGGCTCCATACTAGACTCCTCTGGGGTTGGAGCACCCTAAAGATCCCCACACGACAAAAATAAATAAATAAATAGATAAATAGATAAATTAATGAATTTAATTAAAAAAATTTTCAAATTTACTATTGAAAAATGAATATTGACCTGGGTAATTCAACAGCAAATGTGGATTTTTATTTATTTATTTATTTATTTATTTATTTATTTATTTATTTATTTATTTATTTATTTATTTTATTTTATTTTTTATTAATTAATTAATAAAAAAATAAAAAATAAAATAAAATAAAATAAAATAAATAAATAAATAAATAATTAATTAATTAATTAATTAATTAATTAATAAAAAATATAAAATAAAATAAAATAAAATAAAATAAAATAACATAAAATATATAAATAAATAAATAAATAAATAAACAAATAAATAAATAAATAAATAAAAATCCACATTTGCTGTTGAATTACCCAGGCCAATATTCATTTTTCAATAGTACATCAGAGTCCACATGAAATCAATATTCATACTTTATTTTGCTAGAGTATTGTTAGAGTTATTATTCGCACAAGGCTTCAGCGTCAATGCTTCCTATTTATCTAGAACGGGTGACGTCAAGCGTTGCTGAACTGAATTGTGGATCCATCTGAGCTGCTTCAGTGGTGTTGCTCGCTGCAGAAGTTGGGAATTTCTCAGGTTTTCAAGTGCCAATCAGATTGCTTCATGCAAATACCCCAGCTCAGACAATAGCCGATTGCGGATTAATTTCATTCAATTGCACATTTAGACTCGCCCTCCTTCAAGCGCTGATGCTGAAGCCCCATGTCAATCACGCATTCTGGTAAACAATTATCTGTTAATTCATAGGTGATAACAGGCGATGCACGGTGATAGGTGACACTTATGGTATTATATTCATACATGTGCACTATGCAGAAATAAAATATACCTTATTTTCTGACACAGCAAAATATGGGGGACCAAAAACAACTCTAAAAAGCTGAAAATTAAACGAATAATGCCAACAATAACCTCTATACTCTGACTAGATTATGCATTTATCGTTTAATTATTATTCGTTAACGTTACACTGGCAATCACATATAATCTTAATGTAAACAGTCTGAGCCTATATGAGCCATGATAATTAGTTTACCTTTCAAGTCTTAAGTCGTTCGTTATTTACGTAACAGAGTGACTCAAACCCGAGGACTCGAGAGATGAACGGTTCAATTCTTTTTCCAGCTCTAAACGTGTATGATTGGCCCGTGATGAACAAGTGACTCAGACCCGATAGAGTACTCGAGAGATAAACGGTTCCATTATTTTTCCGGCTCTAAATGCATATGATTGGCTTCTGCCTTTCCGCGATGTACGACTTGAAATGTGATGAAGACTTGAAATGAACAATACCACCTGCACAACTGTGTGCACGCGCGGATGAACGAATCGCTCCCTGAGAGGACTTATAGTTCCCGAGTCAAAATGAACGAATCGTTCTTGAACGCCCCATCACTATAGGCCTGTGAATTTGTTCAAAGAGTAATTAAAATGAAAGCAGTGACTGCTGCTGCTCACAAAAGGATGTATGTATATATTTTTTTTCAATCTTGAGCTCTTGAAAGCAGCAGGACTGTGGGTGCATCAGCATTTTTGTCTATTCCATTACAGAGAGAGCGATCGCACCAGTTGCGCTTTCTCTATACACACGGTTGTTTCACGCAAGTAAACGGGAGCGTGTGCTTTTTAACAGTCGCGCGCATCACATCACCTGTGCACGCGAGTAATCATCCTGTCATAAGGTATTCACCTGCTTTTGCTTGCGTGAACACAGTTACTTTTGTCAGTCGTGCTGCTTCTCGATTCTACGATCACATTTTGGGCCATCCTTATTGTCGAACCCTGCGTTAAGAAAAGTACAATGTAAAAATTATTTCCAATCAGCCAGTGTGGTTAGTGGGAGCGGCTGTCTTACCCGCCAGAGTGGAAATCTACCCGCTTTTGGGGAAATCTACCCGCGGGTTGGTGGGTGTTAATGTAAAGCCCTGCAGGTTAATAATGCTGCTACTTTATTTGTTCCTGTATAAAATGAAGCACAACCAAGCAGCAACCTCCCGCTCTCCCTCAGGAAGCCAATACGGAAGTAACTAAAACTGCAATTCATCCGAAATTCCGCTAGTCCTGGCCGCTCCTGTCTCCATAATAGAGCAAATTTCAATTGAGCCCACTGTTAGCATGGCCAACTTTACAGCAGAAAAAAAGGTGTTTACAGCCTGCTACAAAAAAAGATTTTGGTTAATACAGCTAATATTACCCTTCATGACAACTGTGAGGGGGGTGAATTTTTTTATAACTCATCCGTTTCCTTTATATTAAGTTATATTAAGTTTGCATAATTAAGGGCGTGGCCACTTGAGTGACAGCTAGGTCTCGTTGGTCGCCGTCACGTCACCTCAGCTGAATCCTGCAGATTAGCCACTGATCTCGGCATATTTATCGTATTTCTGTGTTGTTTTATGTGGCTTTACACACTCAACTGCCTTTTGGACTTGTTTCCTACAATTATTAGATGGCATGGCATGCTGAGTGCACTTAATTGTGCTCACAAACCAGTCACGTGGCCTCCGTTTCCCATGTGAGTAAAGTTATATACTCATATACCATCTCTATACATGTATTTGTTGTATTTAAGATCATTTATCATTTATATTTATATTTAGAGCTGTAATGCAGAATCTGTCAGATTGAATAGCTGTAGGCTCTAGATCAGTCATCTGAAGTGTTATGCTGGATTTGATCAATAGTCTTACATTAACTAACATAGACTATATATGAAGTGTTTGGAAGTAATTTGCGTTTTCCTCCTGTTGTAAAACGTCATAAGAACAATGTTTAGTGGCTCAATGTGTTACAGCAGTGTTTTTAAAAGTCTAAACACTTTATTGATGTAGTGTACAACCAAGCACAAGTGGTCACAGGTGATAAAGTATTAAGCGTTCTCCCAAAGTAAAGTGTGTCTGAACCAGGTCCAAGCTAAATGCCAGCAGGTGTCTGTAGCTCCGCTCACTCTCCGCCTCTTTGCCCTTGTTTGGTATCCCGCCGTGGGTGTGATGACGCGCGAACAAAATGGCAACGGTTGGCCGCGCCTACTTGTGGCTTCTTTTGCGCTCTGTAGAAACTTATGGGTGACGTCACGGACACTACTCCATATATTTTACAGTCTATGAGCACAACAAGCACACATTCTTTTCTATTATGCTGTTTGACCTGCCAATGCAGATGTTCAAGTCTCTCTCGGTCGTGAATTTGAGGAAACACTCTATCCTGCATGTGCCAGAACCACAGGACAGATCATTACACCAAATGATTTTCAATTCCTGACAGCACAAGACTCTTAGACTTCAGCTCAGTCTCGTACGATACATAGAAACCGGCCAAAACCCTGAACCGTGTCCTCTGACCCAGCGCTAAACTCTGTCCCGTGTGAAGATGGATTGTGCACTGCAAAACGTTTGGAAGAGTTTCCAATTCTCTGTGTATTGATTGGTCTGATGGGACGTGTGTGTTACTGTCAGAACCAAGCTTTAATTCCCAGTGATCTCTGCTTTGAGCCCAGCTGCTGCTGAAAGCATGCAAACATTCATATCTTTCTAGTTAAAAAACACCCATACACTCTTATTCACTTGCACACTCATACACTACAGCCTGTTTAGTTAATCAGTACCCCTATAGCGCATGTGTTTGGACTGTGAGGGAAACCGGAGCACAATTTATTTATCCATTCATTTATTCATTCAGTCATTCAGTCCATTCACTCATCCACCTATTTGTCCAATCATTCATTTCTTTCATTCATCTATTTATTTATTCATCAATATATTAATTGATCAATTCATTCATTCATTCATTCAGCTATCCAATTCATTCATCTGCCCATTTATCAGTTCATTCGTTCATTCATTCGTTCGTTCGTTCGTTCGTTCGTTCGTTCGGTCGTTCGTACGTTCGTACGTTCATTCGTTCATTCATTCATTCATTCATTCATTCATTCATTCATTCATTCATTCAGCGATTTATAGCTGCTACTGAAATCATGCAAACATTCATATCTTTCTAGTTAAGAAAGGATTGTCTGGCATTGTTGTTCATTCATTCATTCATTCATTTATTCATTCATTCATTCATTCATTCATTCATTCATTCATTCAACAGTTCTTAAAATTGTTTTGAAGGAACAACTTAATTTTGTTATGTTCAT